TATGCATCAAACTGGGGCTAACAGAGGATACAGTTGTTTTCGGGCGGGCGAGCCCCTTTCATTCTGGTCCAAGGGTCTAAAGTGTCCAGGTAACCCATAACCTTGTGGATGCTGGAGTGATCCAGTGTGCAGACTCAGGATACTGGGATTCTATGGACTTGGGACACTTTCTTCAGGAGCTGTTTGAGGCAGAGACCCTGGTCTTTACTTTAGAAAATCACCAAGCCAAGGGGAGCAGCTGGGAGGTTGCAGAGTGAGATCACAAACCTGCATATGAGTGCATGGGGCTGAGAACAACACCAGGCCGAGCACGGCAGAGACTAGCAGGGGCAAGGCTGTTCCTTCGTGGAGGGGGAGAAGGCATAGTGTGATTTCAGGGGCACCCCACTGCACTTCTCACTATAGCCCTGCCAAGACTCAAACTCCCATCTTGACACTCTGTGTGACTCAAGCAAAAATCCCCAGGTAGTTACATGGAAACTTTTGCAGAACATCACATTGACTCTTTATCACTTTAGGATGGGCAGAGCTGCAAGGGATCAGGCAGACGGTAAAAGAGGAAAACACTCGACTATAGGATGGAGGGTGCCCCACAGTGGGGGATCCTGGGAATCTATGTGACAATCATCAAAATGTGAAGCATTTTTCTGTCCATGTATATACTATAGCACTAATGAAACTTTGTGCCCAGTGCTAGGTAGACAAAGACAGACTTCTACCCTTGAGTAACTCATAAAGAAATCTGAACAGATGTAGTTACTGTTCAGTGCAGTCAGTGCTATGACAGGGACTTGTGTGAAGGACTATGGGAGCATGGGAAAGTACCCCCACATCTCAAGGGTTTGGATATCAAGACAAGTAACAAGAATTGTCCATGAGCCTCTCTCCTTTCCTTCTACTATCCCTACTCCTTGGAGCTCTAGAAGGGTGAAGAAATTGTCAAAGAAAGTCCTAACAGTCCATATGGTCTCTTTTCCAAAGGATACATTTCTGGACAGCAAGCTTTACCTAGAGCTTTGCAAAGCTCCGAAGTCCTTTTCCATAAGATAAGCCCTCTTTGACCCCAAGAATTTCCTTGTCTGAGTTCCTTCACACTCAGGAGCCTGCCTGCAACCTGCCAGGCGGTCTTGTCTTCCTCCGGTACGCCCACCCCTCCCCACCCACAATCCTCTAGACACTCAAAGGACCTTTGCTTATGAGGCTCCAGACCTCTTCCTGGGTCACACCTACCCCCCATCCCCTACTTCCCCCTCAACCAGGGGGCTCCTACTCATTTCTGGCTTCCTGCCTCAAAGCCCACCCTGTCCACAGCAGCATAGAAAGGTGGTCAGCCCAGTGGGCGCCAGGAAGGAAGGCTGCACCCACCTCTGGGTGTCTGGTGGTGACTCACCCAGAGGAGTCCACTCCCCCACACCGGACACAGGAAAGACAAAAGTCCTTCCATTACAGGGACTCAGCTCAAAACCTCAAACCATAGGGGCCATCTCTGTCTGCAGCCAGCAGCCTCTTTCTGAATTCTCCTTCCTGCCTGCCTTTCAATTTCTTGAGTGCACCAAGACTTTATGCATGGATTTTTTCCTGGTGACAACTTCTTCACCTGGTTACCTCCTTATTATTCCTCCCTGCAGCCTCCCTCTGACCACTTACGGGCTCCCCAAGCACCTGGACTTACCTTTTTCAAGACACTTCTCCCTTAACATGGTGATTTCTAATTTATCTGATCACATCCCTCAAAAGGTTTTAAGTTCTTTGAGGGCCAGGATTCTCGTCTTGTTCAAGGTTGTACCCCCAATACTTTGTACTTAAGTCATGGAAGGCACTCGGTCAATATGTGTTGAGTTGAAAAGAAATGAAAACCATAATATACACACAATAATTACTATTCTTAGAAGAAGGTCAGGTGGCAGGTTGGGGGTGGAGGGCTGGTACAAGAAGTTATTCTCTTAAATTTTCTTTACCAGCCATTGCCTGGCCAAAACCAGGAGTTCTCAATGTGTGGTCCCTGGCTAGCAGCATTAGCACTATCTGGAAACTTCTTAGAAACACACATTCTTGGTTTCATCCCAGACCCACTGACTCAGAAACTCAGGGCATTGTATTCAGGAGGCTGTGTTTTAACAAACCCTTCAAGTGATTCTGAGGAACACTCAAGTTTGAGAAACATCACCCTCCTCCTAGGGCCAAGCTTGGGCCGTAACATTCAACCATAGAAATATTACAATTTAGAAAAACTTTACATTTATATCAAGATTTTCAGCTAGCCAAACACATCTTCATCCTCATTCCCCATCTTACTTCAGTAGTTATAAGTCAGCAGCAGGCATTAACAAGAAGTTTTGTTAAGCTCCGTTCAATAGATAAAAACACTAACGTTGAAAAAAAAACCCCACTTTTCTCAAATGGTAAGATTAAAACAGGCTGATTCAAGGCAAGAATCTGGCCCAGGGCTCTTTCCACAGTAACATAAAGTCATTCAGAAGCCAGTAAAATAAATAAAGCACCAGAGAATTCACAGTTTAGGGTCCAGAAATGTGAATACATCTTTCTCTACACTTTGATTGCTTGCTTACATGGTAAATAACCTTTCGGGAGGGTTCCTGACAGTTTGAGCTTCTAAGGAACTTGAGTCATTCCTTCAAGATAATTTAGGATAATAGTCCACAAAGCTTACATTGAAGAAACAGAGTAGACTTATTTTTTAATTATAAAAAAAGGCACAATTCCCAATTCATGTCACTCAAAAAAGGCATTTTTTTTTAACCTGCTACCTTTCTAGGGTTGAAGAGCCCCCACCTGTAAGAAACCTCTCTTCTAGACATAGAGGTCCTAGCACAAACATTTAAGCCTTGGTGGACACCACAGGGAAAGTTCTGGAAAAGAAGGACAAAGCGGATCTGTGCAAGGCCTGGTTGGGTTTGGGTGGCTGTCTGGCGCCCCCTTGTGTTCAGTATCTGGACCCAAAAGAGCCAGGTGGGCAACGATGACGTAGGGAGGGGCAAGTGGCTACAGCCATTCTCCACAAAGCCAGTGTGGCCAGTGAGGGGCCAGCGGCATGGGCCCTGGAGGGGCCGCAGCCACTCTGCCCACCATGTGGGCACTGCTGAAAGCCCCTGCGGACACTGTCCCAGCCCTGGTGCAAGCTCTCGAGCTGCCCGGGAGCCGTCCCCAAGCTCACCCCATTGCCTCCAGCAGGAAGACAGGTCACCACGTCCCTCCTGCTGGGTGTTTGGCCAGCGGGCTTTTCCTCCTGACTTACTGCCCATGGCAGAGGCTTACAGCCCTCTTGGTTTTTAAGGGAAATTGACTGTTCTGCTGAAGATAGCTTGGGCCCCGGAGGAGACATTGCAAGGCAGTTCTGAATGTGCTAAGCCAGTGGGTGGTTATGGGCACTGTGTGCCCGGCAAAGGCACTTTCCACCCTCGCCATAAATAGTTCTTAACTGGTTCACAGGAGGAGCCTGGTGGTGGCCCTTCTTCTCGCCTGCCCGCTCCCTCTGGCTCCCACCCCCAGGGCTCTATCTAGCCTGTCAGCCGGATCACCAAATCCTGCCCCTGGCGTGAAGAGATGTCTTTCACGCCTAGATCACGGCCCCTTCAGCGCAAGACTGCAGGGCCAATCCCAAACTTCCAGGGTCAACACCAGCCCTAGAGCAAGTCCCACCTAGGAAGTAGCATTGGGCTGAGCCTTAATTCTGGGTACATCCTGGCTTCCCCTCATGTAAGCTGAATCAGGCAAGTCATAGAGATCAAGTCACTCTCTGAGTCCCAGTATTCTCAATGGACAAACGGAGGTCTCAGCCCTGAAGTCAGCCCAATATGGATCTGGGAACTTTATAGGGTTGAGTATGTTGGTAAATCTAACAAACAAGTACCCTCTTGCCTCTAAGCCTTTGCATGTGCTGTTCCCACTGCCTCGAACAGTTTTCTCCCTTCTCTCCCTCACATGGTCAGCACCTCTTTGTCTTCAGTCTCAGCTCAGACTTCTCCAGGAACCCATCTGTGGTTCCCTGAGCCAAGGCCGAGTCCCCTCCACTGGTTCCCATCGCTGTTTGTATGTCCCTAGTTCTAGAAGTGGTCACAAGGTATGCTAATTGGCCATTTGCTGGTCTGGACCCTCACCCTAATAAACCTCGTGAGGCAAGAGCAGGGATCCCGTCTGTCTTATGCACCTCGGCATCTGCAGGGCCTGTACGGTGCCTGGCACAGAAAGACACTCGATCATATGGGCCTGGCTGGCTGGCTGGGCTCAGAACAAAACACAGGCTGGGTCCAGAGGGCAGTGGCTGAGTCAGGAAAGCAGCTAAGGAAACATGCACATATCCATGGTGTGTCCGTGTTCTGCACAACTGCCTGCGGCCCATGGGTCGGTGCAGGGGTACCTGTGCCCGTGAGGTCCCTGCCAGCCATCTGTGGTGCTCTGGCCTGTTAGAGGAAATGTTGGGGGCCATTCAGGCAGTGAACCCACAGACAGGGCCTGAGCATACTCTGCCCCAACTCAACCAGAAAATTCTGCTTTTATTCTTTCGTGATTGTGTTTCTTGATGGCTGTGTTTAAAAATCTGGTTTAAGAGAGAAAGATAAATTTGAAAACCATTGAAATTTGAAAACCACCGTCCTGTGCCTTCATTTTACAGAAAAAGAAAGGACACCCAGGGCAGAGAGGGGACCTACAGCTTTTCAGAGGGAAGGAAGAAGATGGTGGATTATTTGGAGTGAAGGGCTGAGGGTTAGAATGACACTGAGCAGGCCCAAAGCGCTCCCAGACCACAATGTGGCCCTCTGGAGCCATCGCCTGGTGGGGCGGGGGGAGTGACATCACATGCCACCTGTGCCGGCTTTCCTGGGGGTGGGAAGCGGGAGGGACGCAGAGGGAGCTCCTAAGGGCCTGACGTGCTGTCCACAGTCACAGATGCACACACGCTGCCCCGCACTCTCCGCTAATCCCCACCCAACTTCCTGCCTGGCCCCTGACACCCATCCCCGGGAATGTTATCTTCTTAGGCCACGGAGGGCTGAACCAGCTGGGAGGGGCCTTTGTGAATGGCAGACCTCTGCCCGAAGTGGTCCGCCAGCGCATTGTAGACCTGGCCCACCAGGGCGTGAGGCCTTGCGACATCTCTCGCCAGCTCCGCGTCAGCCATGGCTGCGTCAGCAAGATCCTTGGCAGGTAAGCACGAAATTCACCACGTTCCACCTTGACTGCAGGGCCTGCTTTCTCTGCTGACCCCATGGCAGCATGACCACCTGCCTCTACCCCTCCTCCCCAAGGACTGGAGATTTGCTCCCAAAGTCCAAATTTGGTCCTGAGACCTGAACAGGTGTGTGGTGGCACTTCTGGGCCTCTGCCCGTTCTGTTGTTTTCCTGCCTTTTCCCCATTCTTTGTCAATTTCTCCTTCTTTTGGTTTCTCCCTCTGCTTTCTCCTTTACGCCATGTCTCCTTTGCTGTAAGTTTCTCTGCTTCTGACACAGGAGAATCTTCCCCAAAGGTCCTCCCCCGGCTGAGTCAACCAAGGGAAATGGGGCCAATAGGGAGGGGACACACAGTCAGACGTGGGTCCCAACGTGTTTCTAACCCCCACCAGACGGATGTCTGAGTTTGTGCTTCTCAAACCATAATGCCCAGGGCACCCTCAACAGAAGCACCAGGGCTGTGTGCTGAAATGCAGATTCCTGGGCCCCATCCAGACCTACTGAGTCAGCCTCTCCAGGAGCCAGGCCTGGATACTGTGACTCTTACGAGATGACCAGGAGACACTCACGAACCCTAAGGACCTACAAGACCCCAGATCAGTGCTTCACAGCCCTGGCTGCACATTAGAGTCCCCTGGAGAGGCTTGATTTAAAAAAAAAAAAAATTAACATTTATGGCCCAGCCCAGACCAATTAAATCAGGCAAATCAATTAAATTAGGGAAACAGGCTCAAGTTTGGGGATATTGCTAAGCTCACCCTCCATTCCCCCAGGTGATTCCAATCCTCCATAGCCAGGAGTGAGAATCACTGTCCCAGGGGTTCAGAAGAGGCCAGGAGGTACGAAGGCCTGCTTCTGAGCTGACGCGGCCACATATTCTAGACTGGAGAGACTCTTCCATCAGAAACACTCCTGCGCCAGTTTTGAGTCAGCTCCGTTGCATGTAACTGTCCCCTTCCTCTGAATCATACGTGGATTTCAGAGGACCCTGCCTGGACCGTTCATTGAACCATGAAAAGCCCTGGCCCCCTGCCCAAAGTTGTTAGGGAAAAGTATGGTCCTCTGCTGGGGCTGGGAGAGGGGATTTCTGAGCCAGCTCTGGTGTCCCAGAGAGGAGACAAGCTCTGGACAGTAGTGACAAATGAATAGAGTTTTAAAGAGCAGATTCTTTTTTGTGGCAGAGAGACCAGAGAGTTTCTACAGCAAGGAGGGGCAGGTAAACTGCCAGCTGGGGGCTGGAGGGAAGGTGGGGGGTGGAGACCCTGGAAGAGGAGGCTCAGCTTAGCAGGCGGGACCCGGCGGGCATCCAAGCCAGGCTGGGATTCCAGAGTCCATAAGGAGCAGCTTCCACTTGAACCAGTGACCAGGGTTGAGGGAGATGGCTCAGGCTGGGACAGAGTGAGGAGCAAAGGTGAACCACGCAAGACAGGGAGGAGGGCCTGCAGTGACCACAGATGGTTTCTCAGGTGGCCAAGGAGAAGAGTCAGCCAGCTGTGCTTTAGCCAAGAGAAGCTGGACAGAGCAAACTGCCACCCTTTACCGTCATTCACACAACACGTACGCCAAGATTTCCTTCCTTAGAAGGGAGGTCTTGTGCCCCATGTGGTGGCTCCTGCAGGTGCTCGGACACAGCAGACTGGTCAGAGGGAAGGGAAGGGAAGGAGAGAAGCCAGGGTGCAGCCTTTACCGAGGGTTCTGGTTTGGCAGCTGCGTGAACCTACCCAAGCAAGGGAAATGGACAGCTCTGGGAACATCCAGTGTTTGAGGCCAGCCTTAGGGGCATGTTTCACCCCCACGTCCCTCTCCAGAAGCCTCAGCTGGGAGAGAGGCCTTGGCTAAGTCCCCCCAGAGACCCCACCTGCTTATTGGGTAATTCTTTGGGGTTCTCTATTGGAGTAGGTACTACGAGACTGGTAGCATCCGGCCTGGAGTGATAGGGGGCTCCAAGCCCAAGGTGGCCACGCCCAAGGTGGTGGAGAAGATTGGGGACTACAAGCGACAGAACCCGACCATGTTTGCCTGGGAGATCCGAGACCGGCTCCTGGCCGAGGGCGTCTGTGACAATGACACTGTGCCCAGTGTCAGCTCCATTAACAGGTGAGGCTCTGGAGTCAGCCGGGGCCCTGGGCTTTGGGGGCATCACGGAAGAGACCAGAGAAAGACCTGCGTGGAGCCGGGGCTGGGAAGGGGCCTCATACTGAAGAACCTGGCAGGGTGCACCCCCGCACCGGGCAGCACCGCGCCTCCCTGCCCCTCACTCGCCCATGCTCTGGGGCACCCTCCTCCCGGCCCCCGCCATGGAAGCGGATAGACAACCAGCCTTCAGGGCAGGAAACTGTGCTACCTACAGTTTCCTTCCTCAAACACCACATCCTCTTTCATTCAATAAAAGAATCTTCTTGCATTGATCCTTTTATGAGCCACAAGACCCCTAACCTGGCCCACATTTCAAGCGTCCTCTCATTTGTTTAATCCTTCAATTGTTCACTCACCACCTCAATCATTTACTTATCACTCATTTCATTAATTCATTCACACATACTTCACTCGTTCACTGGGTGCTAGGCCCTGGAACACACAATTCCTGTCTTTGCACAGCTTACTGTCTACTGAGAACACAAACACTAATCAAGTACCCACACAAAGCATCGTAAAAATACAGCTCTCCATCCTGCTAAGGGGAGGAACACGAGGGTATGTGGCTCAGGAAGGGGATGAGAGGCTTTGTCTGAGTAAGAAACAATGCATAAGAGTTAACTAGGGGAAAGAGGAGCAAAAAGAGCTCTGAGACAGCACATGCAAAGGCCCTGTGGCTAATACGGTCTTACACGGGAAGCTGGAAGAAAGCAATAGGTAGAAGGGGAGCATGGGGTAGGCTGAGGTTGGCGGTGTCTGCGGGATGCCAGGGGCCAAGTGACATACTTGCCTTTGCCCTTTGAGCAATGAGAAGCCCTTGGCAGATCCTAAGCAGGCAGCTGACTGGCCTTTCAGAAAGTCCACTCTGGCTGCACGAGGGGAAACCAATTACGAGGGGTCAGGAGTGGATGGGGTGGGCCGGGGAGTGACCCTGGAGGGAAAGGGCTGGTGGTGGCATGCACTAAGGTGCTGACAGTGACATGCAGAGAGGGGTCAGCGCTGGTGAGGTTTACAAGGTCAAACACAAAACTCGACGACAGGTTTGATGGGAAGAGAGGGCAGCAGATGTTCCCCCATCTAGATTTCTGCCCAGAGTGACCGATGGTGCCAATCACAAGATGGGAACACCAGGGAGGACCAGGTGTGAGGGTGAGGTCATGGGTTTGCCTGTGGACAGTCGAGATTGAGGTGCTTTGAGATACCAGAGTGGGGTGTCATAAAGGTTCTGGATCTACGGCAGCCGTGAGTCCTGTCTCCTCCTCTTCTCTCTCACGGCCTTCTTCTCTTCCCCACAGAATCATCCGGACCAAAGTACAGCAACCATTCAACCTCCCCATGGATAGCTGTGTGGCCACCAAGTCCCTGAGCCCAGGACACACGCTGAGTGAGTGCTGAGGGCCCTGGGCGCACACACACACCCCTTCTGTGCACCCACACACACACAGAGGCACGCACAGACACCCGTGTACAGGACTCGCACACCCGTGCACAGGCTGAGCTGTTCCACGGGAACAAAGCCAGGCCTGGTTGCCCAGGGAGATCTCCTGAGCCACGGAGAGGTGGGAACACCTCAGACAGCATTGACTCCAAGAATCCCTGGCCAGCGGCTCCCCCCACCCCGGGAAAAACACCCCCGACCCCCCCAAGGCCCAACAAAAGGCAAGGCCTGCCAACGCCCCCAACGCAACAACAAGGGCAACCAAGGGGGGCGCCCCCAAAACCCTAACCCCCGCCCCCCAACCCCGCAGTCCCCAGCTCAGCTGTAACGCCCCCAGAGTCCCCCCAGTCGGACTCCCTGGGCTCCACCTACTCCATCAACGGGCTCCTGGGGATTGCCCAGCCTGGCAGCGACAGCAAGAGGAAAATGGATGACAGTGAGTGTTGGGGACAGGAGGGCAGTGTGGGGGTACGGAAGGGCAGGTGCTCAGGCTCTGATGGGGACAGACTCCCTTACGGCCCAGGATTTTACAGGAGCTCTGAACGCCTACCTGCAGTCACCTGCCTGTCTCTCGGGCGGCCAAGGCCCCGGGCCCAGGCGTCTGGCCCTTTCCCTCCCTCCGCCTGCCCTCCACTTGGCCTGGGGATGGGTAGATGGGTCCCCTGAAAGCTTTCTCCCTGCCTGGGGCGCCAGGTGACCAGGACAGCTGCCGGCTGAGCATCGACTCGCAGAGCAGCAGCAGCGGGCCCCGAAAGCACCTTCGCACCGATGCCTTCAGCCAGCATCACCTCGAGCCGCTCGAGTGCCCGTTCGAACGGCAGCACTACCCAGAGGCCTACGCCTCCCCCAGCCACACCAAAGGCGAGCAGGTGAGAAGCCGGGCCCTGGGAGGTGGGCAGGGCTGGGCTGGTAGGGGTCGAGCAAGGCGTGCTCTCCTAGGGAGCCTGCAGTCCGGCCACCAGAGCAGCCAGAAGTCACTTCGGTGGGCTCAGGGCACGTGCTGTCTGCAGCTGCAAGCCCAGCACATGCTTTATTTCACCAGCTGCCCTGGCGCCATCCTCGCCTCCCAGCCCTCTCGGCTTCCCCGAAACCTTTGAGCCTGGCCCTTGCAGAGAGGGCAACACCACCTGGTGGTGCCATCCCTTCGCCATCAGCGTCTTCCCCAGACCACAGGGTCAGGCCTTGCAACTCTAACGTGGTGTCTCTGATGACCTCAGCCACCACTTCCTCATCCCCCTCCGCACCCACCCTGCGTGTGCCCCGAGGCCCTGCATTACTCATGCCCCCGAGCTCCCACCCTGTTCACACCTCTCTGCCCTCACACGCCATGCACCCCCCTCCCTTGTGCCTTTCCTCCCCCTGCTCTGCCTGGAAAAATACCACATGCCGTGTGACTCAGCCCCGGCATCCCCCGCCCTGAGAATCCTGCCTGCCCCTCCGACACCAGTCGTCTCTCCGCCTTTCTCTGGGCTTCTGCACATCCCATGGGCCACTCCTGGTAGCTTCTCACGGTGTATCGTGATGACTTAGCAGACAGGTGTAAAGACGTGCAGGTTTCTTAAGGACAGGGACGCCTCAGGAGACATGAAACATTGTTTTTTATCCCGAGCACCTAACGTTGTGCCCCTCTCATGAAAGATACTCAATAAGGGACGCTGAAGGAATGGACAAACGGATGAGTTGCGAAATCCGAAACAATCAATCACAAGCCACCTGTCCAGCGCTGAGGACAGGTGACATGCATTATACTGGGCTGCTTCTGTGAAAAGCTGGCAGAGGTGTGAGAGGTCCCACCTGAGGCCAGCAGAGGCTACACTCCGAGGAGACCGCTGAGCTCTCAGTCCACAGTGGTGGGGTCCTCCTCCCTTTACCCCACCAAGCCCCCAGATGAGGATGGTCTTAAGGGTGGCGTCTGCCTGCCCCTCTTTGCTCACGCTGTCATCTGATCTAGGAGTGAGGCGAGCCCATATGCCTGTACGATCTGAGTGGGACTGGTGACAATGCCAATAATCAGCTGAACCATTGCCAATGGCCGTCTGGGCTGCTGGCCCCCTGCCAGTACCCACAGCTGGGCAGGCAATCTGCGTCAGCGATTTTATCAGCTCTGACTGTGGCAACCACGAGGGTGTAGGGAAAGCCAGCCGTCAGCAGACATGGGGAGAGGGCCAGGATGCTTCTCTGAGAGTCAGCACATGGCTCTGGGAGGGAAAGGGGGCCGCAGTGTGGGCCTGCAGGAAGCCTGCTGTGTGAGGGTGAGCCTGCAAAACCCATGCGCAAGCACCAGCCACCCTTCGGCAGTAAAGAAACCCTGCCGCTGAGCACCTGGGCACCTGCTGGGTCCAAGAGCCATTTCTTGGCTCCACCCCTAAACCCTCCAAAGCACCCTGCTTGACTGCAGAGAGCCCCTGTGCCATGGGGGCATACACTCATGGGGAGTCCTCGAATGAGAGAGTCCTAGGGCTACTGGGAACCTCGGTGACCAAGTAGTCCAGTGTCTGTAAGTGTGTGGAGAAAACCCGGGTCCAGGGAGTTCAGGGAGGGCTTAGGGAAGCAGATGCATGGCTGTGGAGCTCAGGCCTGCCGGCCCTGGTTTCACGCAAACTGGTCCACTGTCCCCTGTTTCAGCTAGGGGGCTTCTATGTATGTTCTATTTGAAGACTGGAAAAACAGCATTTGGAAACCACTGAACTGCTCCAACTGCTCATCCTACAGATGGGGAAACCAAGGCCCAGCACAGTCCCCACAAATTATTCATTCTCTCGCTCATTCATTCCCACGACATGGTGGGGAGGGGCAGGGAGAGCCAGCCTGTGCTGAGGGCCCCTGGTGTCCCAGCCCTTGTCTTCCTTACCTTTGGTGATGGACTGTGCTGCCAAAGGAACACTGTGTTCTCTCCCTGGTCACGGGCAGGCCCTCTGGCCTAGGGAGCCAAGGGAGAAGCACAAGTACTCACCGACCTTAGGGTGGGGCATAGACAGAGCCATCTCTTCTGTAAAGTCAACAGGGGGGAAAGCAGTCAACAGAAACGTCATGTGACCTAATTCCTGGCTGCTATTTCACTACGGGACATGGTCAGTTATTGTTCCTCTAATTTACAATGTGCACCAAGAAGCCTATCAACAAGAAATGTGAATATTATGATGACAGAGACCAAGAATTTGGCAGCTTCTGACTCTTCACATAATTCTGAAATAATAATACCTATGATAACTACTTATTGAGCATCTATTGTCAACAAGCTAAGCACTTTATATAAGTACATACAATCTCATTAAATGCTTACATCAGCCATGCAAAGTAGATTCTATGATCCCTGTTATACAGGTAAGAAAATCAAGGTTCAGCAAGGTCAAGTACACTAAAGCTACTTAGCAAGTCATTACAGAACCAGGGCTCAAACTCGCTTAAGTTCTGAAGCATTGTGCCACTCTGTCCCCAATTCAAGCTCAATCTCAGTAAAAAAAAATTGAATCATCACTGGGATGTTTAAGCCATTCAATACAAAATTGGCAAAATGTTTCATGACTTTTTTTCATCACTTTTTTCACTAAATTGCCTAGATTTTGGAACAAATATAGTATTCTAAGTAGATATTTTGCTAGCCAATCCACATATCCATAAGGCATTTTAAGCTTTTTTTTACACTCTCTAGAAATTAGGTATTTTGTTCAATTTCATTAAGCCGAGCTCTAAGCAACTCCACCCTGCCTCTAAGCGGGCCCCCTCAGAAGGCATGGAACCAGAGCACCATTTAGTCAGTAATTGCCGCTACGTGCTAATGGTGCCCTGGTGGCCTCCCGAATTGACTGCAGCTTCCAAAAGTGCCCGGCATGCAACCGGAAAGTGCTGGGGCTCTTTGGAGAACCCGGCTCCATGGAAATCACTGCAAACAACTGCCTTTGGTGGAGCTGTTATGCAACCACAGAGCTTTCCCTGGTTTCAGTTTTGCACGATCTTTCTCGTAGTGCGTATATGTCGTGTGACCATATGTGGGGAACAAGTGTGTGCCTGTGTGTGTTGTCTTGTCCTCTGGTGTGGAGGAGCCATCTCGAGTGGGTAGAGTACACTTGCTTTTAGTTAAACAAATTCTTTTGGATGGAGCACCTGAAGCCATAGCTGTGCTTGTGCCAGGGGAGGCCAAGAGGTGTCTAAAATGAGGTCTTATTGAAGAAAACTCCCAGACACTTGATAAAGAGCGTTTCCAACACAATCAACTCCAAGAATCATTTTCAAACTGGACCTACACACTTCTATGCATTTATATACGGAGCGAGAGAAGACGAAATCCACCTGTTCTGGTGGGTAGAGCACCTGGGGCAGCACCCAAAGTCCTGGGTTTAGTCCCAGGTCCCTTATACAGCCCTGGGCCATTTACCCCTCCTGGTTTCAGGCTCCACATATAAAATAGACGTAATATTACTTGCTCGTTGTCACAGAGCTGCTGAGGGACTCTATCTGGATGACAGAGGCTCTTTGCTAACGTAAGAAGTGGTGATTGTATCTTCCAGTTTAGGGCAGTGATTGAGAGCAGGGGCCAGACCTCTTGAGTCTGAGCCCTGAATCCTGTCTCTGCCCAACATGGAAGTGTGACAAGTTTCTTAAGCTCTCTGTGCCTGTGTTCCCTATCTGGAGAGGAATACATGAGTTAATAGAGTGAAGCATTCTGAAGTGAAGTCACCCAGTGGCACTGCTCCAGCCCTTGGCACTGTCCTGTACTCTGTGGGTTCAGACTGTGGGGAGGCAGGAAGGAGACCAGCCATCCAGGCAGATTCTCCAGGGGAGACTCTCCATCCCATGCCTGGGCTCCCATGCCACCAGCTGGCCTTAAATGCCAGGGACGCAGAAGGAGAACAGGGACCCACCAATGAGACACAGCCACCAGTTGAGAATGTACAGTAGGAAGGGGAAGATGAGGAAACTTTTCCTAGGTACACTACAGGTGCTAAGACAGGCTGCAGGGCCGGGAGGAAGGCTTGCTTGCCCAGGGGCCTCTCTGCGCGCTGACTTCTCTTTGTTCCCCAGGGCCTCTACCCGCTGCCCTTGCTCAACAGCGCTCTGGACGACGGGAAGGCCACCCTGACCCCTTCTAATACACCCTTGGGACGCAACCTCTCAACTCACCAGACCTATCCCGTGGTGGCAGGTATGATGCCCGAGTCTCCCAGGCCAGCTGGCCCCAACTATGAGGGCGGGGTGGAGGGCCGGGAAAGGCAGAGCTTGGCTGGCCGTCAGGAGGAAGGTGTCTGGGGCCCTGGCCTGGAGAAGAGAGGTGGGCTGTGCTGGCTGGGCCTCCAGCTGGGTCAAGGGGGTCCTGCCTCCAATCCTTGGCGGCTTCTGGGTCTCCTCACTCCCTCCTGCGGGAGAGGTGGGGCACACACTGCACAGTCCCCCATCTACACCGCAAGAAGGCACAGCAGGGAGGCAGAGCTTCTCTCCCATCCTGGCCAGACCTGACTGAGGACCACCTTCGCTCCCCACCCAACCCTGAGAGCAGCCGGGTCTGCCTGCCCCGCGCCGCCTGCACCCTCCTGCATCTCATGGCTTGGTTTGTGCATGTGCCCACCCCCTCATCTCACACCCCTCTCTCCTTGTTGTCTCCCTCCCTCCGGCAGATCCTCATTCACCCTTCGCCATAAAGCAGGAAACCCCCGAGGTGTCCAGTTCTAGCTCCACCCCTTCCTCTTTATCTAGCTCCGCCTTTTTGGATCTGCAGCAAGTCGGCTCCGGGGTCCCAGCCGGTGCCTCGGTCCCGCCCTTCAATGCCTTTCCCCATGCTGCCTCCGTGTACGGGCAGTTCACGGGCCAGGCCCTCCTCTCAGGTACGACAGGGAGGTCCCGGGGCCACGCAGGTGTTGCGGGGGTGGGCGGGGGATCCTTAGTGCCAGCGCCTTTCTCCTCTTCCCTCTCCCCGTTTTCCTTTCTAGTTCTAATTTTGTCCACCACCGCTGTATTCCCTAATTCCTCTGGCAACTTTTGGAGGTGCCAAGGCCTGGTTCTCCAGAACCCTTGGAAGGGGCAAGCCCTCTGGACGTGCCAGGAAATGGAGTACACTACCCAAAAACTCCCAGGAACCCTAAGGCCAGGACCCAGGAGCAGAAAAGTGGAAAGACTTGGTCTTCGTTAATAATAATAATAATAGTAAATAAAAAAGAAGGAAAAACGACCAAAAGCTTTGGAAGGAAAAAGGCATTGGCTTTGGAGCCAATTTCTGGATCAAACTTCTAGAAAGGACAAGGGTCAGTCCCAGTTGTGTCTCCATAATGTAACTATCTTTGTGCCCATCTGAACAGTATCACCCAAGGAGGACACAAACACCTTTTAAACATGAATCACTCAGAGAGCTGGGGGAGCTGGGGGAGTGGGGGAATGGGGAGCTTCCAGCAGGAAGCTCATCTGCCTCGAAACGTTTGAAGCTGGATGCGCCTTATGGGACATCCTGAGCAAATCTCTCCATGGCCCAGGGAGGAGAGGGCCTGGCCAAGGTCTCTGGCTAGAGTGTGGTGTCCATCAGGGTGAGGGCTGGGCCTGCACTCCCATGGGTCAGAGCTCAGGTAGACCTGGGGCCCCTTGGGAGAAGGATGTCAGCCCATCCAGCCAGGGCCTGAGCAGTGGCTGGAAGAACCGGGTGTTTGGCTTGGGCAGGAGAAGACCTGAGATGCAGTGAAGGTGGGCACAGAGGCCTGTAAGTCTTCTCATATCTCAAGGGCCTCCATGGGAATGAGACTAGCTTAGATGTGGGCCCAGGAGGGCGCAGGACCAGTGGAGGAAGCCAGCTAGCTTTCAGGTCAGCACTGGGAGACTCTCCTTACCATTAGCGCTATCTCTAAGGAGACAGCATCCAGTGACAGAGTGAATGCCTGCCCACTGCCCTGCCTGCCCGCCCCCCGCCCTCCGCTACCTTGAGATGCTAGAACAGAGACCAGTGAGGGGGCGGGGGGAGGAGTACCTGTCACAGAGACAGCCCAGAGTCAGACAGTGCCTCTCCACCAGTAGTTTTCAAACTTGTTGGACCTTGAAATACTCCCATAAAGTAAAGGCCTTCACAGAAGCCGTATGTCCCAACTAGACCACTGAAGATCTGCTCTGTTTGAAGTAGGGGCCCTGCCCCAAGAAAGCCCTTGAGCTTGAAAATCACTGTACCAGATACCCAGAGGGACCACGGGGGCATCTGATGCCAGTCCATGTACTCTCGCTTGTGCCGCACTCTGCATTTTCTGTCTGTCTGGCAGCCTGCATCTAACGTAGGGAGGCCTCTTAGAAGACATGAGTGCCCAGTGTATGGGCAGAGAGGCGGTGTTTAAGGGCCTAAAGCAGGGAAGAAAATGTTGACTCGGAGTTCGAAATTTCAAAAGAGGGTAAAGTCAGCAGAGATGGGTCATTTATTTTGACCAAAGTGATTAAAGGAGAAAAATCTGTGAGCCGAGAGAAATTATGTGAGCCAGAGAAAATGGGAAGGGAGGGAGGGAAGGGGGAGCAGAAAAGGCTCCCTTCCCTTATGGGGTGGACTGCCTGATCACGGGGCACACCTGCATGTCTCATGTGACTGGCAGGCCAGGGCCGGGGCTGCAGGGTAGTTGGGAAGCTTCCACCCCCTGGAGGAAGCTCGTGTTGATGGGGAGCAGGTCTCAGTTACTATGCGAGAGGTGGAAAGGCTTGGTGGGACCAGCTGAGAAGCAAGGAGAGGAAAGGGCCTACAGCAGTCGGAAGCAGCTAGATGTATCAGAGTGCAGACATGGATAGTGGTGTGAAGTGTAGTTGGAACAGCCCAGGGCAATCTCCCTTCCCCCGAAGTCCCCCCACCCCCACCAGTCACCTTACTAGAGCTACAAGCATCCCCTGTCAACATGCAGTTGATCAGGGGTGACACTTATAACTACGGTCAGCTCTTAATTTAGCGGACATGTCCATTCTCCAGGCCAGCCACAGGACTGGGAGGTCATGCAACCCATGGGACAAAGCAGCTGGCAGCAGACACCAGGTGGTCCTTCAGGCTGCAGGCAGCCAGGTGTGCAGCACTGGCACATCCTTCAGGCAGGTGGCTCCCAAGCCAAGCCCAGCTGATGCCAAAATGCAGGCGTGAGCACCACGAAGGCTGCTGGCTGGCCACAGGGCCCTGCCCGAGAGCTGACAATTCAGCACAAAGGCAAGGGGTCTGAGGAGAGTGATAAGTGCCAGTGTTGGAGGGACTGGGGTCAGCCAGGTGGCCAAAAGCAGGGAGCAAGTCAGGACTGAAGTTCCCAGAGTTGAGCCCAGCCCTGCGGCTCAGGGACAAGGCAGGTGATGGCTGGTGTCCGTGCTGAGCTCAGGGTGTCAGCCCATCCACCTGAGGCGTCTGGTCAAGACTGGACCTAAATACCTAATTCGTGCCTGAACCACTCGAGAGGGCTGGGAGGAGGAAGGGTAGGAAGCGAATGATTTTAAGAGTCTGGAAGGTTGCACACCTACCCAAGGGAGGAAGGGGTAGATTTGAAAAAAAGGAAGGAAGCAGAGACCAAATTATTTCTAGGTAATCTTGCAGGCAGGGGAGAGAACAGAGGAGCCGGTGAGTTTCCTTCCATAATCAGCTCATCTTAACCTACATGATCCTTCTGAGCCCCTCTGAGTGACCCCTAAGGACCCTCCCTGCCGTCTCTGCCACTCCTTTACCTGCTTTTCTCTGAGTCACTTCTTCCCTCAGCCCGGCGGCTCTGAGAGTGCGATTTCCAGGGTGTCTGTCCTTCTGGGTCTCCCCAAACAGCCAAGAAAGAGGAAATGGCAGGGTTTGGGGAACAGCGAGATTGCCCCTGGTGGTCCTGCCAGTTCCCTTGGGACACCCCAGTCTGGCCAAGACAGCACCATCGAGGTCCCGAACCATCCTGGTCCCGGCTACTCCAGGGCCGACTCCAGCTCAGCTGACCAGAAAGCTCTGAGTTAGGTTTTATCATCAAAGAGTCCGTTCCCCTCCTCCATCCTTTGTACAAAATTATATTTAGTCCTGCCAAGGAGACTTCTAGGTTGCCATAAATTTTCCTTGCTATCAGAGCAAGATAAGGAGTTGAAAAGGGGTTATGTGGAGGGCAGACATCAAAGGGGGAACACAGAATAGTCTGGAATCACCTCCACCCTCTTTTGGATTCTGGTCTCCACCAATATTTAGAATATTTAGCAATATTTCTGGGGTGCTAGAGCTTTCTTAGGGAACCCCACTCCATAGCCAGTCAACATTGGCCTGTGCCTCATGCCAACTTCTTAAAAACAGGGCTACCTTGGAAGCATACTTAAGTGTAGAGGGAATGGAATTCTCAACAAGGGTACATTTATGATGAAGAGCCTTAAAAACAAGAAGTAGATAAGGGGGCTTGGATAGGCTGTGATGGAACGTCCGAACCTCATGGCTTTGGTGGTTTTGTTGCCAAGAAAGTTGCAAGGTTCTTGGATTTTTGGAAGAAACCATGTGTTTAAAAACTTGGAGCAGGCTGGGCACGGTGGCTCACACCTGTAATCCTAGCACTCTGGGAGGCCAAGGCGGGAGGATTGCTCGAGGTCAGGAGTTCAAAACCAGCCTGAGCAAGAGCGAGACCTGGCTCTACTATAAATAGAAAGAAATTAATTGGGCCAACTAAAAATATAAAGAAAAAATTAGCCGGGCATGGTGGCACATGCCTGTAGTCCCAGCTACTCGGGAGGCTGGGGCAGTAGGATCGCTTGAGCCCAGGAGTTTGAGGTTGCTGTGAGCTAGGCTGACGCCATGGCACTCACTCTAGCCTGGGCAACAAAGTGAGACTCTGTCTCAAAAAACTAAAAACTTGGAGCAAAGAATTTTGTGGAGCTGTTAGGAGTGTTCGTGGCACCACAGTCTGGGTGGGGGCTGTCCTGAAGACAGTCTCACCAGTCTTTCCAGGAAGGCCAGGTTTCAGAGAAGGAAGCCTCCAGGAGTCTGCTCTGGTGTTTGGTCCAGAAAGCTCTTCCCTACAGAGGGGAGATGAAGATTAAAGTCTCAGAATACAGGGGAGTGAGGCCAATGAATTCCATTTACAAGAGCAATGTGGGGGCTACTAGTTCTCATGGGGTGGGGCCCCATGGGAGCGACTGTGGACTAAATCAAACTGTGACCTTACTCTACAAGCTCGGCTCTAAACTGGTTCCTTCTGTGATGGACAGGAAGCTGTGGTGCAGGGAATTGCGTGGCTCGGGTTTCATATAGAGCGTGGCCTGGATCTAGAGCGCTCTCTCTCAGGGAGGAGGAAGTAGGGGGAGAAGCAAAGAGAAGTTGTTGGGCCTTGAATCAACCACCACCCCCTCAAGTGTCACTCCCCTCTTCGCCACCCTCTGTGCTCCTCCTGCCCTCACAGACTTCATGTCACTCCTTCCCTCTCTTGGTCCCCAGGTGCTTCATCCGAGGGTCACGGGGCCAAGTCTGAGGGTCAACTGTACTGCAGTCTCCTTCACAGAAAGCTCAGTTTTACCTTGCTATCGCTTCTGGGTATTTCTCCCTCTACTTCTCAATGCACTAAAATTCCCCATTACACCCCTGTGTCTCCACCCCTTCATTTGTTCCCCTGATGACCCTGTGTCAGGGGAACTGAGCCCACCTCTAAGATTCTAGGCGTTCCTCCCCATGTGAAGGAGACCAAGCACAGCTGCACACTGTGGTCAAAGTGGCACAAAGTAGAAGGTGGTTCTACTCAGGTTTAGCAGCACTTCATATGGTTTTATGTAGTCCACACGGATGGCTGATTCACAGAGGATTTATTCTGTCAGAGTCCCATTGACATATAACCATTTCTAGAATGTGCCCATTGCACTAATCAATGTCCATCTGCAGCAGGAAACCCCGGCTCTGAATTATGCTGATAACCTCACAGTAATAGTAATAAGGTATATAGGGCTATCTTTATTTTTATCCCATTTTGCATGTGAAGAAACTGAGGTTCGGAGTACATAGTGGCTGGTCTAACGGTACTCAGACATAGAAGCAGCATAAGGACCCCAGTTCCTCTGGTTCCTGGGCCCTTCTCTCCAGAGAAAGGACAGAGGTTGAGTTTGCCTGGTCTTGTTCATTGACCCCCCCTAGCTTGGCTCCAATTGCCCATCCCAGCCTGTGCCCCATCCGGATTTAGTGCCTGGCCTTGTTAATTTGGAATTTTTTTTTTTTTTGCTTTTATTTTTCTGACTTTTTTAAAAATTTTGTAAAATATTTAATTATTAAGGATACATAATAGTTCTATATCTTTATAGGGTACATGTGATGTTCTGATACCAGGCATACAATGTGAATTAATCAAATAGGGTAATTGGTGTATCCATCACCTCGGGCATTTATCATTTCTTTGTGTTAGGAACATTCCAGTTCCACTCTTTTCATTATGTTAAAGTATACCCTAACTTATTAGTGATTATAATCACCTTGTTGTGCTATCAAATATTGTTCATTCTATCAAACTATATTTTTGCACCCATTAACCATCAGCCCTTTATCCCTTCCTCCCCGATACCCTTCCCAGCCTCTGTTAACCATCTCTGTTAACTATCTCCTTCAGTTCAATTGTTTTTATTATTTAGCTCCTGGCCAGGCGTGATGGCTCACACCTATAACACTAGTACTCTGGGAGGCCAAGGTAGAAGGATTGCTTGAGCTCAGGAGTTCAAGACCAGCCTGCGCAAGAGTGAAGACCCGGTCTCTACTAAAAATAGAAAAAAAATTAGCAGGGCATCATGGTGCACACGTGTAGTCTCAGCTACTCAGGAGGCTGAGGCAAGAGAATTGCTTGAGCCCCAGAGTTTAAGTTGCAATGAGCCCCAGAGTTTAAGTTGCTATCATGATGCCACTACACTCTACCCAGGGTGACAGAGTGAGACTATCTCTCTCTCTCTCTCTCTCTCTCTGTCTCTCTCTCTCTCTCTCTCTCTCTATATATATATATATACATATATCTCCTACATATGAATTAGAACATGTGAGATTTATCTTTCTATGCTTAACATGATATTCTCCAGTTCCATCCATGTTGTTGCAAATGGCAGGATTTCATTCTTTTTTTGTGGCTGTATCATATTCCATTATGTATATGTACCACAGTTTCTTTATCTACTCATCCATTGATGGACACTTACGTTGATTCTATATGTTGGCTATTGTGAATAGTGCAGCAATAAGCATGGGAGTGCAGATACCTTTTCAATATACTGAATTCCTAGGTTAAAGTGTAGTGGTGTCATCATAGCTCAGAGCAACCTCAAACTCCCGGCCTCAAACAATTCTCCTGCCTCAGCCTCCCAAGTAGCTGGGAATATAGGCGTGTGCCACCACCACCTGGCTAATTTTTCTATTTTTGTAGAGATGGAGTCCCACTCTTGCTCAGGCTGGTCTTGAATTCCTAGCCTCAAGCAATCCTCCCAGAGTGCTAGGATTATAGGCTTGAGCCACCTCGCCCAGGCGGTAGTTTTATTTTTAGTTTGAAGTATGAAGAACTTTGTTTTTAGCATGAAGAACCTCCATACTGTTTTCCATAGAGGTCGCACTAATTTACTTTCCCACCAACAATGCATGAGGGCTCCCCTTTCTTCACATCCTTGCCAACATTGGTTATTGGCTGTCTTTTTGATAAAAACCATTTTAACTGGGGTGAGATGATATCTCATTGTCATTTTAATTCACATTTCTCTGATGACTAATAATGTTGAGCATTTTTTCATTTACCTGTTGGCCATTTGTATGTCTTCTTTTGAGAAATGTCTATTCAGATCCTTTGCCCATTTTTAAATTGGATTATTTGATTTTTTCCTATCAAGTGTTGGAGCTCCTTATATATTCTAGTTATTAATTCCTTGTCAGATGGGTAGTTTGCAAATATTTTCTTCCATTCTATGGATTGTCTCTTCACTTTGTGGATTGTTTCCTTTGCTGTACAGAAGCTTTTTTACTTGATGTGGTCTCATTTGTCCAGTTTTGCTTAGGTTGCCTGTACTTTGCGTTAGTCAAGAAGTTTCATAGTGTCATATTTTCAAGTCTTAGATTTTAGTCTTTAATCTATTTTGATTTGATTTTTATTTATGGCCAGAGATAAGGGTCTAGTTTCATTCTTCTACATATGAGTATCCAGTTCTCCCAGCACCATTTATTAAAGAGACTATCCTTTCCCCACTGTCTATTCTTTGCATCTTTGTTGAAGATAAGTGCACTACAGATGTATGGATTTATTTCTAAGTTCTCTATTGTGTTCCATTGGTCTATGTGCCTGTTTTTATGCCAGTACCATGCTGTTTGGGTTACTACAGCTCTGCAGTATAATTTGAAGTCAGGTAATGTCATTCCTCCAGTTTTGTTCTTTTTGGTCAGCCTGGCTTTGGCTATCGTGGGTCTTTTGTGGTTCCATATAAATTTTAGGATTATTTTTTCTATTTCTGTGAAGAGTGTCATTGGCATTTTGATGAGAATTACGTTGAATCTGTAGATTGTTTTAAGTAGAATGGACATTTTAACAATATTGCTTCTTCCAATCCATGAGCATGGAATATGTTTCCATTTTTTGTGTATCCTCTTCAATTTCTTTCATCAATGTGTTATAGTTTTCATTATAGAGCTCTTTTGCTTCTTTGGTTAAGTTTATTGCTAGGTATTTTATTTCATTTGTAGCTATTATAAATGAGATTACTTTCTTTCTTGCTTTCGTTTTCAGATTGTTTACTGTTAGCATGTAGGAATGCTACTGATTTTTGTATGTTGATTTTGTATCCTGCAACTTTACTGAATTTGTTTAGCAGTTCTAATAGTTTTTTGGTGGAGTCTTTAGGTTTCTCTAGATATAAAATCATATCATCTGCAAACAAGGATAATTTGACTTCTTCCTTTCCAATTTGGATTCCCTTTATTTCTTTCTCTTGTTTGATTACTCTAGCTAATTTAGCATTCTTGCTTTCTACTGTATCCTCAAGAGCTTATAGAAGTGCCTAGTGCATCGTACTTACTCAATAAGTATATGTTGAATGAATTAATTATCTTTAGGGAATCTCTAGAGAGAGAGGTAAGGAGGAAGTAGTCACTGTGGCATTGACAACTTACAGGGTTTCATGGGATGTATCTTCCCTTCCATCAGTACTAGGCACCCCTTGAAGGAGCTGAGGTATGAAGGACCTGGGCGGGCTGATGGGAGGAAAGTTGGGCAAGAAGATGGACTTGGTAAGTTGGTTGATGGGGGCTCACAGGTGTCCCACATAAGTCCTGGGAGAAAAAAGCAGCCCCCAACATGGAAGAGACAAAAGATATTTGGGTAAAATGGTCATAATCGAACACAGTGATTCTCAACCAGGGCAATTCTGCTCTGGTCTCTTTCCCACTGAGGACATATTTTTGGTTGTCACACTGGATGAATAGAGGTCAGGGATGCATGCTAAACATCCGATATTGCACAGCATAGCCTCCTACAACAAAGAATTATGTCAGCCCAAATGCCAATGTTGCTGAGATTGAGAAACTCTCTAAACATCACTAAGACCAAGGATGACCAAATAATTCATCATTCAAACTGAAACATTTTGAGAGTGAAATGGGTATTATTGAAATAAATATGCTAGGACCATGGTCATCACCTGAGCAGACCTGGGAAAACCAGGATGTGTTGTCACCTTGCTAAGAATCGTGGGGTGAAGGAGAGTCTGGTCAGAGCCTGCAGAACATAGGGGCTATGGGAGAAAGCAAAAGTGAGGAATTATGTTTTTTGGCACATGGGTAGATGGGAAGAAGCTCACCAGGGCAGGTGGGGTCTCCAAAATGGGAAGGTTTGACTCCGGGATATAGAGGAGAAGCAGAGCCAGGGAAACAGGGTTTTACAGAGCTGCCTTGGTATCACCAAGACTTTGACTCACAAAATTTGACTTACAAATCACAGATAAACCAAGAGAGATCAGCATCTGTTTTGCTAAAAGTAGTTGTTTTCAGAAGTGGTATTGACAGAGGTATGATTGATTCATGGTCACACGTGAAAGGTAAATGTAATATCTCTCAGCCATGTCTCCTTCCTAGGTCAAGGAGAGCTGATAGGTTTCACGTCCCTTGTCTCTTGCAACTCTGACAGATTGCATCCACCTGCAAGGCCAGCTAAGGAGCAGGAGTCCCCTCTACTCAGTGAGAAAGAGTGTGGTGGTTGATTAGCAATGTCTGTCACAGGCCCAAAAAGGATAGCGATAGTATAGTGATAGGCCCGTGGGCCATACACCTGCCACCTGTTCACAGAGCCTTGTTCTTGGTTCTCCTCAGAACCGGGCCAAAAGGGGTGAGCTCTGAGTCAGGTGGCCTGGAGTGTGTTTGTTGTGCCTGCTGCTGTGCTGGGTGCTGCGGCGCATAACAAAGACCAGAAGACATAGCCACCAGCCTCCAGTACCATGACATTTTTGTGGATGAATAAAATAACACTCATGTAAATAAAACCATTGCGGAACAGGGAACAGTGCAGGACTCAATCGCAAGTGCTCCCTGCATGGTGGAGCGTCTGTCCTGCAGAAAACAGACAGAGGACACAAGCACTGGGCCCACAGGAGGAGGGTGGTGGGAGGAAGTTTGAAGAATGGCTTTGGAGAGAGTGGCAATAGTGTGGGAGGACAGTGAGACGATAAGGACAGGAGCCCCTGAAAATCCAACTGATGACTGTTTGCTGTGTTTTTCCAGGGCGAGAGATGGTGGGGCCCACGCTGCCCGGATACCCACCCCACATCCCCACGAGCGGACAGGGCAGCTATGCCTCCTCTGCCATCGCAGGCATGGTGGCAGGTAAGGGGAGGGCATTGCAAAAGGAAGTGTTGGAGGAGGGAGGGACAAGAGTGGGCAGGGGGCATGCTGCATCCCATTCATAGAATTCCCAAAGGCCATGGAAGGATGGACTGAAGTGGGCATCTTCTTGTAAACATCTGGAGAAAGTGCCCTAGTGCAGTCCTGGCTCTGTCATTAATTCGTCCCAGCTTGGTTTCTGTCTGCCCAGACAGACCTGTGCCCAAATCCACACTCCCCAACTTCTTCCAGGACTCAGTGAGCAGGAGCGTAAGGGAGCGTGCCCTGAGGGCCAGCAAAATGCTGTGAGCTGAACATGAGCCCCGCCCTTAAGCAGCCCTGGTCTCCTAGTAATTTAAGTCTGGTGAATCTCAGTTATCCCTGCTGCAAATCCTGAATCTGAATGGTCTTGTTGATGATGAGGAAGATGAAATGATTGAAACATTTCCTCCTTTGCACATCACACTCGCCCAAGCCTGCATGGGTAGGACCCAGGTTCTGAGTACTCTAAGGGTACTATGGAGTATGAGGTGAGCTGCGAGTGTGTCTCTCCCCTCATTTGGACTGTCCTGGAATCCTGCCTGCCAGTGATTTGGGATCCTTTGTCTGCCAGTCGTCATGCAGTGGGTGACCCAGGCTGTCAAGGTCTGGACAAATGAGGACAACGGGAATTTCTCTGGGCAAGTCTCACTTTTAGGAGCCATATAGGAAAGACCTAGGTAGAATTGAACTATTTCCATTGCCCAGAGAGGCCTGAGTACCTGGAGCTTCTGAAGGGGCTCTGAACTCAGGGCATCTGTGACCCCCATCCCAGCCCTGGCCCACACTCCCTGGCTCTGACCCCAGAGACAGCTTATTCACCCCGCCCTGCTTCCCTCCCTCCCTCCCTCCCTCCCCAGTAGGGGTTAATCTTTGCCAGCCGCCCACTCTGGGCACCCTGTGCAGAGGCAGGTGGGCTGGGCTCTCCTGGGCAGAGGGAGGGGAGGGAGAAAGAGAGGGAGGAAGAAAGCTCCATGCTCCCTGGGAACCTGCTGAGCTGGCACTTGTTGCTGCCTGGTTACCGTGGCGATGTGCTTAATGCAGCGTTGAAAATACAGAATACTGACTCCTCTCTCCCTCCTGGCCTCGGCCTCCCTCCCTCTCTCCCTTCCTCTTCTGGAGCGTGAAATGAGATTGGTCAAGATAAAAAAGGAAAAGATTCGGTTATTTTTTTAAGAGTGTGGATAATGGGGCCTCTCAATCAAAATCCCAGGCTCCAGTCGGCTCCCCCATTCCCCTTCCAACCCCTCCACCTTCCCCTGCCGCCTGCTTAGAGGAGGAGGAAGAAACATAAAGCACCAGGCTTTTCTCTTAATTATGAATCATTCCCTGAGGGCAAGCCCAGGGCAAGGGGTTCCTGGGGCCTAGAATCTGACCTGTGAGGTAGCTGGAAGGCTTGGGCCTCTCATCAAAGGCTCCCAAAAAGACTTCATCCTGAGTAGGTGCTGTGAAAAAAATAGCACAACTAGGACATTGACTGTAAGCAAATTGCAGAAGGGAAGAGCCTTGCCTCACACAGTGAATGGGCTCCCAGTAAGTTGCATGCAGATCAGTTTTCAGAAAATGTAATACTATTTAAATGAATCACCTGGTTCCTAGGAATGCCATTGTGCAAATGAGTTCTTAAGGAATTTTTTTGTAGAAAAATCATGTGCCCCTATCATACCACTGCCTGTGATCTCCTAGTTGACTGAATGAGGATTCTTGTCATTCAAGTCAGTAAACTTTCACTGAGCACCTACTGCGTGCATGTTAGGTACATAAAAAAGGCTTAAAGCAAGGCATACCAATGACATTCATCAATCAAATGTGGAAGAAAGGAAGTGATCATTTATTATGCACTTCTGCATGCCTGTCCATTCATACAGTTAACTTTATTTCTCATTTTATCCTCACCATAAGACTGAGAGGCTGATATTACCCCAGTTTTATAGATACGGAACCTGAGACTCAGAAAAGCAAAGTGGTGTGCTCAGGGTCATAGCCATACTAAGTGGCCAAATTGTGCAAACATGGGTCTTCTGATTTCAAATTTAGGGCTCTTTCCATTATGTTATACTGCCTCCTACCATACCAGAAATAAAGACACAAGCTACAGGAGAGCGGCTCAGGAAAAGGACTAGGACAAATTGCCCTTGTCTCTTCACCTTCTGTTTGTCTTCTCATTTTTTTTTTTTTGCTCTGACCCCACTGATGTAATTAATAACCCTCATACCAGTTCTGGAACAGAACCAGCAGCTCCAGATATATAGATCCATCAAGCCATCTATCCACCTTTCCATCCATTCATCTTTATATATATTTTTCCGTACATCCATACATTTTCCCATCTTTCCTTCCATCTTTTCTTCATCCACTCATCTTTCCATTCATCCATCTATCCATCCTTCCATCTATCCATTCACTTCCCATCCATCCTTCCATCCTTTCATCATTCATTCTTCCATACATCCATCTTTCTATCCATCCCTCTATCTTTCTATCCCTTCTTCCATCCATCTATCCATCCATTCATCTTTTCATATATCAATCCTTGCATCTCTCTTTCCATCCATCCTTCCACCATCCATCCGTCCATCCATCTTCCCATACATTTATCTTTTTATCCAACTTTAAGTCTAACCTTTCATCCACCCACCCATTCATCATCCATCCAACTTTCTACATATCCATCCTTTTATCTATCTTTCCATCTATCCATCCTTTCATCATCAGTCCTTCCATGCTTTCATGCACTTGCATCCTTCCATCCTTTCTCCACCTTTTCACTTAAAACAATATTGCTTGAGGATCTGCTGTGTGAGTGGCTGGGGATACAGCAGTGAACAAGTCAGTTTCCTCTATTCGTGGAGCTTACAACCTAATAGTGGAGAGAAACAGACAGCAAACAAGTCAGTCAACAAATGAATGTGATAATTTCAGATGATGATAAGTGCTGGGAAGAAAATAAAATGGATGATGTAATAAAGAGCCACAGGGAAGGAGATAACTACTTTAGATTGGGTGATTGGGGAGGCCTCTCTGAGAAGGTGTTCAAAGTGGTCAGCCAAGTGGTAAACTGGGGCAGACCATCCCTGGCCCAAAAGAACAGCAAGTGCAAAGGCCCTAAGGCAGGAACTAGATTAGCATGGTAGCACACAAAAAGAAGGCGAATATGGCAAAGAATAGTGAGTGATTGGGGAAAGCACTAAAGGATGAGAGAGGTTGTTAGTGGCTGGGTCAAGTTTTAAAAGGTTACTCAGTTTTCTGGGAAAATGGATTATAGTCAGTCTAGAGAGAAGGCACAGAGACCAAACCAGTTAGGGGCCAGTTGCAGTAGTCCTTGCAAGAGAGAACAGTGGCTTGGGCTAGGGAGCTGGCAGTGAAGGAGGAGAAAGGACACTGAGGATATATTTTGTTAGTAGACCCAAAAAAATGTTCTGGTGAATTGGTTGTAGGGATGAGAAGATGGAGGGAAGAAGGATCATTTGTAGGGTTTGGGCTTGGGAACTGCGTGGGTGGCGGGGACAAGTCTAAATACTAAATACCCAGCTTTAATAAGTCAGTAGGCACATGATATAAGTCAGGAACAAACTCTCACTAGAGTATAAATTCAGCCAGTGTACAAAGTTGTTATTTCACACCAAGGGATTAGACAAGATCACTGAAAGAGAATGCAGACAGAAATTCACAGAAGGCTCACTGACCAAGCCTGGGGCGCTCATCATCACTAAGAGCTCTAACTGAGAAGGAACCAGCAAGGAGGGCGGGTAGGAAAGACAGTGAGTTACGAAGCAAACCAGGACGTGGGGTATCACGAACCCAGAAGCACAAACAGAGAGATGAGCTAAAGGTCGAGGGAATTGTGGCCATAGAAGTTATTATTGGGGTGGCTGGGTCAGAGGTTGTGGGGATTTGAGGGGACTAGGGCTGGCCCGAGTGAGAAAGTGAAGACAGAGACCATGGGGTGGAGAAAGGGGCTGGTAGTAGAGATGGATGTGGGGTGGAAAGAAGACTGTTAAAAGAGAAAATTGCAGGCTGAACGGAGTGAAGGATAAAAAAGGAAGAGGCTGATGAAGCAGGAAAGAGAAGATAGTTGTAGGGGCCAAGTCCTTGGAAAGGCGAGTGGTGTGAGATGCAGAGCAGAGAGGCTGGGGTGGCCTTCCATGGGCACAGGGACATTTCCCGTGGGGCATGGGGCAGGCAGGCGGACAGATCTCCTCTTGGGAAGATGCCACACCCAGGGGCGTACCAACTCCCGAGCCCTGTCCCCTGCCCCAACTTCCGTGTGACTGCAGCAGATGGGTACTCAGGAAGTGGGTGTTAAATAAATAAATAAGTGGGAGAGTGAGTGAACGCATGAATGAGTGACAAAATGAGAGGACAAACACGTTGTGTTTTCCGCCTCTCTTCCTTGCCTGCCAGAGCTCACGGTGTTTGGCACTGGGTAGGGTGGGCTACAGGCCTGGGAGCTCTTGCTGTGTAGCCAGTGTAGAACTGGCTTCCTGCAAGGGAACACTGAGACCAGGGAGATCTGGGCCAAACAGGGACGATTCATACAGTGGGGTACGAGAGAGCAATGGTGTGGGAGCAAGGCGCCAGCCAGCGTCCTGGTTTAGGCTGTCATTGAGCATGTTGCCTTGAGCAGATGTCTTTTCCTCTCTGGGTTGCAGTTTCTTTGTTTGTTAAATGGATGATTGGATTAGATCATTTCTTAGTCTTCTTTCTTTGTTTTTGTTTTTCTTTGCTTTTTTCCTTCTTCGTACCCTTCCTTCTTGTGCATGTGTCGTTTGTCTGGTCTGCGTTAGACTTAGTCTTTGCCCCTAAGGGGCTTACTGGTTCTTACTGTGAACTTGCTGCTTGTCACTGCCTCCCTGGATATGGTGAGAGTCCAGGAGCCTTTCTCTGCTTCCCACTCCTTCTCCTCACTTCCATTCCTCCCGTGCAAATGCCTGCTTCTCCGGCAAGAAGGCAGCCCACTGATCCCAACCCAGGTCATAAGACTGGTTGCATGACTGATTCAAGTCTGCATTGAGCTTCATCTTAGCACCTGTTTCATGGGAACATAATAAAAACTAACATTTATTGAGTGTCTCTTATACTCCAAGCATGGTGCTAAGCATGTAACATGTATTATCTTGTTTAATCCTTGCCAGACACCAGAGGATAGAGAATAATTTGCCTCATTTTGTAGATGAGGTAGCCAAGGCTCAAAGAGGCTAGGTGACTTGTGACTCCACAAGGTGACTAAGTGACTCCAAAGTTATACAGCCAGGAACTGGGGAGCAGGGATTCGACTCCAGACAGGCTGGCTCCAGGGCCAGGGAGTTTCAAGCCTCCCTCCAGAGAGTCTGGGAAGGAGGCTAGGAGCCGCAGAAAACAGTTAGCTCACAATCAAAGATGAGTTTCTGAAAGACTAGGTGTGGACATTCATTGGCTCTTGGGGCTGGCAGGAACCTGGCTGTGTGAATGGAATTATCTCCTAAGTGAATAAAGGGATTGTCTGGAATTTGGAGTCAAGAGCCCTAGGGTGGAGTCTGCCCCACCATTTGCCAGCAGCATGATCTGAGGCAAACTGTGTAATCACACTGCACTCCAATTTCCTCTTTTATCAATTGGTAGTATGGATGAATACTTCACAGGAGGTTGTGGGAATAAAGGAGTATAATGTGTGTGAAAGTACTTTGCCAATGTGAGGCTGTATACCTAGATGGTCAGCTTGACTTCGTTGTTGTTATGTAAAGGAATTCATTCTTAAGTAATTTCTTTGGTAAACAACTTCTTTGGAAAAACCAAGAATGCAGGGACAGAAAGCAGTGATCTAATTTACTTTGTGTAAATTCATGCACTGAGTTTGCTTAAAGTGGTGGACCCAAGATGGAACAATAACTCCTCAGAACAATTCCCAAGACACAACTTCCCACAGAGCTGGGGGCCCTCCTTCCTCTCCCACCCTTAATCCTAAGCACTTCTCCTCCACCCCCCCAACAGACACACACTCAACACACTTATACCCATGGAGGCTAAAATGTTCATATATACTGTTTCCCTCTTTGACCACTAACTATTTCACCTTTGCATGCCCCCCACCCCTAGAAAGTCCCTTCTGCAGATGGTCCAGGGAGCCTCTGGGCCCCAGAGTCACAGCACAGCTTCCAAACTCCACCAAACCCTCTAGCTGTTTGGGATTCCACAGATTCCAGAGCCTCAGTTTCTTCATCTGGAAAATGGGGATAATCATAACATCTACCTCCTGAGCCTGCTGGGAAGGCTGCAGTATGTCAAGGCAGTGCCTCCAGTACCTGGGGAAAAGGACACTGCTCCAAATGACCCAGCCTGAGGGGCTCCTAAGGGGGTAATGGAGGGGCCTTCAGAGCTCCACTGTCCCTGCCCGGGCTCCAGCTGTCCCCCTGCCACTCCCACAGCTTGCCCACTGCCTGCCCTGCAGACTTCCCTGCACCCCAGCCCCACCTCCCGGCACCCACCTCACAGGCCTCTCCCCTGTGTGCCTCCAACAGGAAGTGAATACTCTGGCAATGCCTACGGCCATACCCCCTACTCCTCCTACAGCGAGGCCTGGCGCTTCCCCAACTCCAGCCTGCTGAGTAAGTCCCTGGGGCTGCCCGGGCCTTCTGCTGGGTGCGGTGGGGTGGCATGGGGGCAAGGTCGGGCAAAAAGTTGCCTGAAAGCTGAGAGGCCCGAGGTTATGTGGAGGGCCTGGGAGAGAGGCGTTGCTTGTAACCAAAGAAGGTAGCGGGAGGCAGTGTACCTGCTCGTTTGAGGGAGGAGGGCAGAAGTCCAGAGACTTCCTGGCATCGGTTTCCCTCCTGCTCCCCAAGGCTGTGTCTATTAAACCTTTGTTTTGTGTAAGATTCAGAGCCCAGGACTGGAGAGGGAGGGCAGGGGTGGACTTGAGAGAAGCATAAGAGAGGACCTCCTGCCTCCGGGGCTTCCAGTCTTACGGAGACAGCGGCAGGCAGGACTCAGGGCGCCCCCCAGCACGCGGCTCCGTCCTTCCTGGAAGCCAATCTCAAGAATGCCACCCTGTCCCCCCACCCCTCATGAACCATCTAAGTGGCTCACAAATACTCATGATTCAGCACCAAAACCCTTACACGGAAACCGTTTGTTCCACCACATTCCCGGTATTTTCCTGAGATGTGGACGGCATCAGGTCAAGGTCCAGACAGTGAGCTTCGGGGAGCTTCCAGGCTGCTCTTCACCCCTCTCTGGCCTGAGGCCCTGGGCTGGGAAGACCAGCTTTTCAGCAAAGCAAGCCCCACAAATGGGGGCTTGGGGGACCACTAGTGCCTCCCTGAGTGACCTTCGGGGTGTCAGAGCAAGCCCGAGCCAGGGAGAAGCAGCGGCCCAAGGGTGGCCGACCATGGGTGGCACCATCGCAGGCTGGCAGGACCATCCATTCCAAGACCCCCTCTCCTCCCATTACCTCCTAGTGTTCCAGAAATAACTGGGAGGGTGGCTGACCTGAGCTCCCTTTGCCAGATGAGGTCAACGCCAAGCCACCTTTCTGTTCAGCTTAGCTAGAAAGGACGAGAGCAGGGAGACACGCCCCTGGGGCCGGCACCTTCCGGCTGAGCTGCTCAGGCTGCCCCCTGCAGGTGTGCAGAGAGCCTCCGAAGGCCCTTCCACCGCCCAGGAGCCAAATCCCCTGGGGTTTTTGGAGGAAGATTCTCTGTCCTGGCGCTATTTGGGCAAGGCTGGGCAGGATCCCGAGGATACCCCAGTGTGCTTGGTTTTTTGGGGTTCCACGTGCACCTGCTCCCTACTGCCCTCTCCCTACAGCCCAGGTGGGGAAGGTCAGGGCAGTCGTGGGGGGAGGGGCAAGAAGCAACTGTTCTCATTCTGGCCAGAAACTCAAAGGTGAGGCCAGAGAAGGAGGAAATGGGGCTGGAGAGGAGTTAATCTTTGATGATCAGATAGGCCAGAGGGATGAATGATTAACTTGTGTTGTCTTAAAGGTCAGCAGATGCAGGGAAGGCTGTGGTGCAATTTCCCCCTCTGACCGGCAGTGTTGTTGTTATTTTTTTTAACGTGTCCAGGTTCCCCATATTATTACAGTTCCACATCAAGGCCGAGCGCACCACCCACCACCGCCACGGCCTTTGACCATCTGTAGTTGCCATGGGAACAGTGGGAGCAACCGAGCAACAGGAGGACTCGGCCTGGGACAGGCCCCAGAGAGTCACACAAAGGAATCTTTATTTATTACATGAAAAATAACCACAAGTCCAGCATCGCGGCTCACTCCCTGTGTGGTTAATTTAATGAACCATGAAAGACTGGATGACCTTGGAGAAGGCCAACTGTCCTCCAAGACTCCTTAAGGAGGGGCAGGAGTCCCAGGGAAGGAGAACCATCCCATTCCAAAAAAGACAAAATTGGAGAAGAAATGGGGCCCCCAGCTGGAACCCACCGAAGGAGAGAGGAGGGCGCAGCCGGGGACAGTGGGGGGAGGTTAGGGGGATGGTGATTGGCTCTCACCTGGGCCCAAGGTGTGCACAGGGCACCTCCGTGGCCCTGTCGTCAACACAGCTCTAGCAGTTATGAACTGAAAGCTCTTCCTTCCAGCCCACAAGTCACAGCCTGGAGCCGAAGCTCTCCCCACCAGCCACCCTGGAGTCACCCTCCTCTGCTCCGCCTGTCCTCCTTGCCGGCTGGGTAGGGTCAATCAGAAACTCCCGGCTGTCAGCTGACCTTCCTTTGCCTGCTGCTGTGATGTGCGAGCCCCACCCCAGGTTCTCCTACAGTGGGTCATCCCTTTGGCAGCTGCGGTCAGCCGGGCCGGCCTCAGGTGGCTGGAGACAGACATTCTGAAGGGCTCTGTCCCCTGGGAGGTGAGGCGTGGATCTGCCCCGGCACAGGGAGGCGGAATTCCAGGGGACCCACTGCCCCCTCCCGACAGCTCTGCCAAGCCAAGTGTGCTTCCTGCAGCCCAAGCCCACCAGCTACCGAAGAGACCCCGAGGCAGGCACGGAGGCTCCCCCTCTGGCTCCCGCAGCGCCTGCCCCCAAGGCCTGACTGTATATACTGTACATGAAACGCTGTTTGGGTCAAGCTTTCCTCTTTCCACCGCCCAGACTTTGGCCTCCGAGTGCATTGTCTCCCTGCCATGTCCGGCTTCTCTCCTTGACGCTTCTTTCTTTTTTAAAAGACAACCCACCATTGCCATTGCCATGTGACTCAATAAACCATTACTCTCCATCTCAGGCTTTGGGGTTGGCTGGGGAAGGAGGCACCTGGGGACTGGGCTTTCTCCTGAGAACCTCAGAGCTAAGTGGCCGACAGACTCGCTTTGGAGCTGTCGGTTTGGGGGAACTATCTAGTGTCCTAGAGTCCTGACTTGGCATTCTCCCCCTGCCGTTGATAGACGTTTAATGCTCAGTACATCACTTACCCAGGTTCTGAGTGCTTCAGCACTGAGTACAGGTGAGGCTGCCACAGTGCTGGGCCAGTCGCAGACCCCACACTAGTAGTCGCTGTTGTTATTAACAGGAAGCCAGAGAATCACGGGGTGGAGTGGTGAAGGACACAGGGATGCTATAAAGTGGAGCCCACATCTACAGCTCTTGTGGCCCTTGTGGTGGGAGAGGAGGGGAGGGAGGACTGGGCTCTCCCATGTGCCAGGCACAGGGTGGAGGGCTTCCTATAACTTAAGTTGGAATTAGCCCCATTTTATGGATTAGGAAACTGAGGCTTAGAAAATAATGAAATTACTTGCCCATGGTAGTCCTCTTACACATTGACCCAACAACTCAGGACGCTGATCAGGGATGTCAGAGTGTTCTAGACCCAGTGGAGTTTCTGGAGCTGCCACTGAGAATCTAATTTCTTTTTTTGTTTGGTCCTAAAAAGTTGACCTGAGTGAGTGCTGGAGAGGCAAAGCATGGAGGGGCCAGGAGGTGGTGAGGGGGGCTGCAGAGACTTAGGACAGCTGCCTCCAGGACACGTGTGAGATACAATGCGGCAGCAGGGGCTCTGCAGCAGCAAGGTGCCTGGCCTACAGGGGCTGGGTGCTATCGGAGGGGACCCTTCCATGTGGGACCCCCGTGGAGCAAGGGGCGGGAGTCTGCAACCTGGACGTCCAGGTTGGTGTGGGCAGCTGCGCAGACAACTGGGACTGAGCCAGATGGAAGGGGGCTGGAAAGACAGGAGCTGAGAGACAGGGCTTGCATCTCCTTCAACCCCCCAAAGGAGAAGCCGGGGTGCTCCTGGGCATGGCATGAGAACCATTGAGCTGAGGGGAGCCCTCCCATTAAGAAGATCCAGCGCCACCTCTTCTAAGGGGATCGAGATGAGGCTGGTTTTCCAGTGACAGGTCTTCCCTCAGCAGTGGGACCCTGAATCCCATTGTATCCAAGGCTCTTCACGACCCCAAACCCTGGGTTCATGAGGCCCTACGACCACCCCCACCAGGTTCCAGGTCCACAGGGAACCCCCACCCCAGAAGTGCTTGGAGGTGCATGGCGTCCCCAGAGGTCTGCACAGCCATCCTTTGTGCTTGCAGCCAACCCCCCCTGAGGACACTCCAGCAGACCCTTTCCAACTCATTATGACCGAGGGACTTGGGCTGGGCTTTTGCTGTGGTGACATGGTTTCAAACTCGCCTTGCTTTCTTTGAGATGAGCTGGGTATCCCAGGACACAGCTCAGAGCAGGTGACTTTGGTGGCTATGGGGTGTGGCCCAAGTGCAGTGGGCCCTGGCTAGTACCTACCTGGATATAATCCAGCTGAGAGTCCCTCTTTGTGGCTCAGAAAATATAGTCATTTATGTATCGGGCAAGACAGGGATGATTCGAGGTGCCCCAGCATTGGGGGTGGTGTTGGGAGAAGCCAGGGTGGCACATGAAGGGCAGGTGACAAAGAGAGTGTGAGGACAAGGACAAGGAGGCTGCTGGCCCGGAGCTGGAAGGCCACTTTCACCTGGCTGCATGTGACAGGGAGGTGCTTTCCTGTGCAGGGCAGTCAGGGGCCCCGTGGGAGGAGTTGTGTGTTGGCAGGAGAATTGGGGCTGAAGCGTGAGCCTGAGACACTCCCAAGGCGTGGAGGTCCCCCACGCACTCTGCACCTGGAGCAACCCCTTTCACTACCTGTGTGAAGAGAACACCTGAGCTTTCCAGGCGGCTCTCCCTGGTCCAGGCAAGCCCAGTATGTCAGAGGCTTGCAGGAAAGCTGTGTGGACCAGGCATTCCCCGCAGGGCAGTGAGTGTCTTGCTGGAAGATGGACCAGCCCGTACCCTGCCTGGGACCCACCAGATGGACAGAACTGCTGGGACCCTCTGGCTCCTCCCCCACAGCTGCAGGGGTGGGGATGGGGGAGCGGGGAGCCGCTGCTGCCTCCATAGCCAGCCCAGGCCAGTTCCAGCCCCTCCCCTTTCCTACCTTCTCTCACTTCTCCAATATTTTTGCTGTGAGTTGTTACCAAGAAAGATGTATTTTTTGTCCCCCATGTGCCAGACACACACTCAACCCTCGAGACAACCTCAGGCAGGAGGAGTTAGCGGCCACAGTCTCCAGATGGGGAACAGGAGGCCAGAGAGGTTAAGGTCCTTGATAAGGTCTCCCCAATCCCACCTGCCCTCCTCATCCTCCCGCTTCCATCACCCAAAACACACATGCTTCCTCCCATCCTCACCAACACAGGTCTTCTTTGAGATAAGTCCGTTGTCCTTGTCCTTTGGGTATGGGCACAGGAGGGGGACTGGGACCTCAGTGCCCGTGGTCAGCATGTGTCTCAGCAGCAGCCCTGTCAACCAGGGGCATCGGGGGCTGGCGGGGACCGTGACTCCCTCCCAGGCCCATCCTTCACCCATGTCGGCCTCAGAAGTTTTAAGTGGCCTTTACAGGGGTTTAGTTTCTGTCTGAGCACAAAACTCACTCACTGATATCTCAGATGCTGGACATGGGCCCCATTTTGTTTTGCACTTGGGGAAACTGAGACCAAGAGATGACTTGACTTTTCCAAGGTCATTTGGCTAGTCAGCAGAGGATCTGGGGCCACAGCCTGACCCTCATCTACTCTGCTTCCTATTGCACAGCCATGGCCAGGCTTCTGCAGAGACCTCAGACACCCTTTGCTTGGTAGGGAGGGGCAGAAGTCACATAGCCAGTTAGGGCACTGCCACATGCTCCCAACTTGGCAGATAGCCCTGGACACAAGGCCCAGAGCCCAGCAGAGGAGCGCTGGGGCCAGGCTGGGCCGTGCCAGGCTGATCCCGGATTCCCCATCCACCAGGGGCCTGAAATCTCAACCCCCCCCCCCGGCTGCCCTTGGGTACCCCCCATCCCAATGTCTAGGGTCGTAAAGCATCTCCATCTTCCACAGGTCAGTGATGGCTCCTGTCTCCCAGGCTGTTGTGTCACTTTCCAACGCCAAGTGACTGAGCTGCCACACTTCTCTCCCTCACCTCATTCTCCTTGCTTTGTTCACTTCTTTCAGTTTCTTATTCCTCTTCCTCTTCTGCTGCCTCCAAAACAGTTATTCCTTTCCCCACCCTTTGAGAGACCTTCGCGTCTCCAGGGCTCTGAAGAGTGAGAGAGAAAGGGAATGTTTGGGAAGAGCTTCAAGGTCTGGGATGTGTCTGGAAAATGCCAGGAAGCAGCCCTTCTCCCCTCGCTCTCTCCCTCTGTTTGGCTTCTTGGTCTTCTCATTATTTTCTTCTGTTCCTTTGGCTCTTTGGGGGCCTCTGGGACTCAGACACTGGAGCTTGGTCCTCCTGATTGGCAGACACTTGTCCCGACAGCTCCCTGCTCCCCCACTCACATACCACCGTCATCAGACCCATTCCCGACCTCCAGGTCCTGCAAGCAGAGCAAGGGGGCCCGGTTCTTCCCAGCAGAAGCTGGAGGAGGCCGGCAGGGTGACAGGTCTCTCGCTCCGCTCCGGTCAGCATCCTCCCCCAGACCACATCCTGCTCCTACCCTGGAGAAGCAGCAGGGCTAAGGCCCCGCGCCAGGGAGAGGCTGCCTAGAGATTCGGGCACGGGGCTCGGGCCTCGCGGTGGGGGGCGGCAAGCGGGGCTCTGGGTGGGGAGAAGGGGCGGAGGGGGGCCAGCTCCTCTGCATCTGTGCCCGGTGGCAGCCGGCCAGGCTGTGGAGTGAAGCGCTGCCTGCGGCTCTCCCAGGGAAATGTGATTTCCCCCTGAGTGAAGCGGACTGTGCAGTGTGGAAATTGGCTCTTTTCTGAGCGAGCTGTGGCTGTTGCTGCGGAGTCGGGGCGGGCCGACTGGCCCCTGGAGTGAGCCGGGAGCAGCCATGTGCTGAGAACTCATTAGGGATAAATCAAACTAGTAACAGCATGAAGCCAACACCCTCCCCCCTACTGCGCCTCCCTTCCCCACCCCCTCCGAGACCCCCCACTTCCTTCTTCCTCCATGGTCCTCTCCCCCCCAGACTCCCTCCTGCCTTCTCCCCAGCCATGGCACCCTCCCCCAGCCAAGGCACCCCTCAGCCTAGGCACCCTCCAGCAAAGATACCCTCCCCTCAAGCCATGGCACCCCCCAGCCAAGGTGCCCCCCAGCCAAGGCACCCCCCCCCCCAGCCAAGGCACTCCTGCAAGTTCCAGAAGCCCAAGCCCACACGCCTGCACACAACCACGTAGGCACATGCACACCCACACCTGCTGCCTAAACTCCAGGAGCAGCCCTGAGAGACAAGTTCATTTGCAAATACAGCTTTTTTTTATTATTATTTAGTTTGCTTTTGTTGGTGGAGGTGGAGGCCCTGGTACGGAGCTTAACCGACAGCCACAGGCCTTGCTGGAAGCCCAGATCAGGAGCCCACCATCCAGGGCCCTCTTCTCCCACCTTGGTCGCATCATTCCCTGCCCCGGCTCCTGCGGAGACCCAGAGGCAGGCTCTCCGCTATGGGCCACGTTGGATCTCCCACATATATCCCTGGGGGAGATGAAGTGAGAGCACCCTGAAGGCCTAACCACAGCAGGAAAGAAACTGTTCATAGAACAGATGAGCATGGTCAGAATGGAAACCTATTTCCCCAGCAAAGGAAGAAAGGAAGAGAAAGAGCAAAGAAGGAAGAAGGACGGGAGGGCGAGGCCTAACTCACTAGCTCTGGGTGGTCCTGAAGGTGGTGGAGGTTTCTACCTGCACTCCTGTAGCCCTTTCTTGCCTGGAACCTCGCTCTTTGCAGATGCAGGGGGAGGGGCCTCCCTGTCATTCTGAGTTCGTGGGTGTTGTGAGAGCCTG